ATCATGAAACTAATCGATAATCTATGCAATAAGAACTGCCGCAGGCGGATTTTGATCTTACCAGCTACATATGCTCAGGTAGTGAGAAAACCAACTATTTGTCAGCGTTTGGCTTTCCTCTCTCGCTAGAGTGGGGCGCTAAAAGGAAAAACACGGCAATAGAACACACCAGCGTCAACAGCAAGTAGGTATCACAATTTTGAGGCTGGCGTATGAGCCAGAGTCTCCCCACAGTCTTCCGGCTGTTATCAAAGGTTGGGAAATTTCAACTCCTTATCGGTGAAGTTTTTTTTTCCCCATTGCGCCAATTGATGAGAGACTTACACCCAACACACAGAAACGCATAACGAGTCTCGATTTCGGTATCATACAACGACATTGGATAGGGGAATCACAGGCACATATTATGTAGCATAGTTTATAAAGAGATTATGTCGATCACGAACTCAAGAACATCGAAGGAAAAGAATTTCATTTGCAAATCTCTGGTGAAGGAATTTTGGACGAGCTATGTGACAGAGGTGGTACGAAGCAGCAAAAAAACCACAGTATTTCCAACAACCGGAGTCTACTGCACATCCTCCGCAAACCTTTCAACGATTGAAGACACCGAATATCCGCTCCCAATACATTCCTCTCTGTCTGTTTTGCGAAAGCTGTCGAGGGCTTTATATTCAACATACTTAAACGCGCGAAGCGTTGATGCGGGTGCGGATCTAAAAGAAACATCGAAATATAGGGAAAGCAGACATTTACGGAACAAGGATCGCAACAGAGTTCGTGGAAGCTACAGGGTCCAGAGAATCCAGTTCCAAGGTTTGGAACGATTAAAGTATGTCTGATAACTAGGCTAATGAAATTTGACCGTATCTGGGCTTAAGAGCGAGATAGCGATGGCATCCAGTCGTAAAATCAGTGTAAATTACTATGAGAAATTTTCAAAAAATATTACTACCTCTCTTGCCACGTACTCATCGATTATCAAAGATTGAACGCCATCGCTTGCCTCTCTGCTGAAAGCACTTGCCCATGCGGAGCAGCCAAGCATGTTGATTTCCATAATAGCTAAGTTCACACAAAGTTCAAGACCTATCCGGTCCCTCCTCAACGATAGCAAAGCATTGACTGCTGATTCATTGTGCTGACTAGTTCTCAGTGGATCTAAAGGCTCCACGCTGCCGAAAGCAAAACTAGCGATCATATGAATACAGTTGCAGCAGAGCTCAGGAGGTCCAGAAGGTGGGAGGTACGAAGATAGCCGACAAAAGCAGTGTAGGCAATAGTATTTCCCGTATTTCGTATACGGGTTAGTTTAGTGGTGCGTATCGAGTTTTTTCGAAATATATACATATGTAGTATAGAATTCAATACCACTGAAAGTATTCAATATCATTTAGTTATTTAATATTATTAGTAATATACTAAAATATTAGAATCTAATATAAAATATACATTTCTATCCAAATTAGATTAGAAATAAGGGATTTCTATTTAATTTGAAATAAGGAATAGAATTTTATTATTTAATTTGAATAGGAATATATACTTTATATTGGATTCCAGTATTTCAGTATATTGCTAGTATTCTCTAGATATATGAATATATACGAAAGTAGTATAGCCTCCTTTTTATACATACTAGCTGCAATATAAATATGCTAATACGCGTTACAGTTTCACTGTAGTATACTATTGCCTACACTGGACAAAAGTACAAAATACTGGAGTTGAAGGGCCATTATATGTAAGACAAAAGATTTGGGGAAAATAGGACCGACGAACGGAGGTTGACGTATGAGGATTTGTGGCGGAGTGGGAATGCAAGAGACCAAAAGACAAAAAGCGCTCTGCGTGAGTATTCCACATGTGAGGAGACACAGTAAAGGCAATTTCAGAGCGGAAAGCAAGCAGTTCGAAGATGGTAAGGCGAATTTCTCGAGAGCGAGAGGGGCGAAATACAAAGCACCACGGCGTGGGTAGGAGGAGTATGAATGGCTAGAAGATGGAGAGCGTTATTACAGCGCATTTGAACAGTGGTAATCTATTCCTACGTAGGAACACTGGTTTGGATACGTCAGACTTCTCCCAAAGGTGCATTTGAGTAACAGCATTCAAATGCTTACCAGACAACGTGATTACACATTAATAATGGGATATTGAAGGAGGGGGTTTCAGCGCTTCTGAGGTTGACAGAAACCTACAAGAATTTGCACGTAGCCAGTGCCCGTCTTCCTGCCACGCATTGAGTTCCGCTTCAAATTACAAGTGTATCCCTCGCAAAGGAGTCTAGACAATCGGCCCAGCCCATTTCCAAAAACGCTCACGATAAGCAAAGTTGTGAAGTGGACCCATGTGCAGATTTCAGGAGAAGCCTCACAGATGTTGGGATTAGTAAAAAAGACTGAGGACGATGACCGAATGCATACTTTTTGTAAATTGGAGCAATGATTATCAATATTTTCCCCTATGCCGCAAATTGACCTGGCTCTTTTCGCCAATGAAACTCACTACGAAGGGGAAGTATATAAGCATTATTCGAGAGAACATAGAAAATAGAGGCATGAACAAAATCATGAAGACACAGACACGGTCCGACATGAAGGTTCCTTTCATCCAGCGAGTGCGGAACGAAACGCAGTCTTTGGTGGATTCATCATCACTATCAAATTGGCTCTCAAAAGTTTGTTCATCTTAATGCAAGCAACTTTGCAAGAGTAGACATATTGCAATGCCATCACAACTTACAATGTCTTTTTTTCTACACATCAAATATTGATGTTATTATACGCAATGACACTCTTCACTCCTTGATATCGAGGAAGATGATTCAGTTCCAAACAGAGTAAAGAACATACTTGTGGCTTCCCCCCTCGTTTGCAACGAAACCACTTGGCTATAAACAAGAACTTGGGTGGGAAGCTATCACCTAACAAGCCCATTCCACAATTGACATTCTATTCTCGCAGCTCATTCCTATACTTATGCAATTTCTCAACCGCCTCAGCAAAAAATAACGCCTTCAACAAAACTGCCGCTGTCTGCAACCCTTCTCATTCCTCCGCCCAGCAATATCATTACTCTCAACTAAGAGAAAAAGCTACCACATTCGCGAAGAAACAAATTTACATAGCAAATCATGTATTCAAGGCGATAAGAGAGAGGTATCATAGAAATAGCAAAGAGGAATTCTTCTTCACCCCTCACCCCGATGTTTCCTTTCTCTTCTTCTCCTTTATATATCATGGAACATTGGACTTTGGTTGAAAAGTTTTGATGTTCTGGAATTCCAAGTTGAAATTCCTGATATGAATGAACCTTTCTTCAAATCATCATAAAAGACACCACACCCAGAAAAACAAACACAAACTTCCAAACTTCACAACTTCCAATTCTTAAGTATAAAAAAAGGTGTTTCAAAACTCCTCAACAAAAACGTACAACTTCTCCCAACATCCCTGATGAGCAACTTCAACCTCAACAAACTTATAGCAATCTTCACAATTGCAATAATTGAAACTCTCCAAAAAATTTGTGCTAGCTTGCAGTGCAGGTAGGTCTGTCAATTTTAAGATCATTTTCCCCATCATACATAGGCTCAACGTCGGCCGGGCAAACAATCTTCCATCAACTAACATGAAGTAACATGAACTAACAGGACCGAACCAACCAGTACCCCCCAAACCTCGTGATCTCTGTCTTCGAATCCTTCTGTTGCATATCTGAAAAGTTGATGTTCGAAATTTGGAGGGCTTGGGAGCAGTTTTTTGAAAAAAGTTGATTTTTTTTTTTTTTAGAGTTGGGGGAAAAATAGTTAGTTGGTTTTGGTGATTTTCGTTAGCTTAAATTTGTTAATTTTTTCATCTATGGGTGAAGTTTGGAAATGGATATTTATTTTAATGCTTGTTTGATTGGGTTAATATTGAGGGGGATTGTTAATCTATGTGTGGAAAATCGTTTAAATAAGTTTTTAGAGAGATAGAAGGAGGGTTGAGAGTAGAGAAGTTGATTGTTTGTAGTGTGTGGATGTTTGTTGAAATTTTAGAATTTTATTGTTTTTGGCTAAAGGAGAAAGAATTGGTTGATTTTGAAAGGAATGGGAGGAATCATAAATTTGATTTATTATGATGATGTAGCATGTTTGAAAGTTCACAGCTTTTTGAGAGTAAAAAAGTTGTTCATATGAAGTGTGTGGATGCTCGTTGAAATTCTGGAAACCTTTTGTTTTTTGCTAAAGGAGAAAGAATTGGTTGATTTTGAAAACAATGGGGCAAAGTATAAGGTTTTTTTATTATGAAGATACAGTATATCTGAAAACTGAGAACTTTTTGATGTTAAAAGCGTTGTTTATATGAAGTTTGTGGATGTTGAATCAAATTATCTGATATTGTTCTTTTGTGATAAAGAGGGGAGAACAATTGATTTTGAGAATCTTGAAAGAAAATGCAGAGCGGCCTTAAGATGACGATATGTAAATTGAGAACTTTTTGAGATTGTGGCGGGAAGGGTGTGCATGGTATATTTGATGTGAAGAGGTTTGTGCATATGGAGAGAAGAATCTGATGAATATAGAAAACTAAGGCGACGGGAGAGGAAGAGGGAGGGGGAGAGGTTCTGATTTTTGATACAATGTGGAGTATGCAGATGCAGATGAGGGGAGCTGCAATAGTTGGGTTGGGGCGTTGAGATTAGATGTTGATGTGAATGAAGTGTACATGTGTCAGTCAACATTAGTATATTTGAAGTTGAATAAGATCTTTGGTTTTTTTTTAGGGAGAGCTAGGTAGCCATTCACCACATTTCCTTGAGTGGAATGGAAGAATAGTAAAACAATAAGATAATCACAGGAGCTCCAAGATATCTATCACAAAATATCAAAAAAAGTAACCAAACGAATGAAATCAACTATTCTATAGAATAAAACTCCATTATACAACATGAACATTCATAACCCTGTGGTCTTCAAACGACCACAGCAATAACAATCATCATCATCATCATCTCTACATCATAGCCATCCCCCCAATAACAACCATCGCTCCCCAAAGCACCAACCCTCCACCAACCACCTCCGCCGCACCTCCCTCAAAAGCAACCACATTACCCTTATCTCCCAAGCTCAACCCCGGCGTGGGACTAGCCACCGATCCCGCCGTCTCATTCCCATTTCCCGCCTCATCGGGATAAAATGGTTTAGCCACAATGACCCGGGACGGACTTTCCGTCCCCAAATCCGCATCTTCATCTCCATCTCCCGTCCACGCAACAGCCTGTTTAGCAAGTCCCTGAAGCTGTCCCTTCAATTCATCTTTTGCCGCGTTGAGATAATTCTCCGCATTGATATCGAGATCGAAATCCGGGATGCCGCCAGATCCGATACCGAGGAGTTCGAACGCGGGGGTGACGCTGGAGAGGGCCGGAGAGGCGGGGATGAAGTTTGTGAGATCATCGGTGGGGTTTTCTATACAGGTGAAGGCGCGGGTTAGTGGACATTTACCACCGCTGCCACAGTTGGGGTAGCTGGGATCATAGCTGGGTTCGGGACGTGGAGAGGGAGTGCAATTACCTTCGTCGCCGAAGTCGCCGATGCTTCCGAAGACATCTGATATATGGTTGAGGATGGATTCGTCATCTGTGATGGGGTTATTGTTACCGATGGATTGAGAGGGAGGCCCGGCGACTGGTGTATTGATTGGAGTTGGAGCGTTTTGTGATTGCTGTGGACCGATAGGAGATGCTTGTGGTACATTAGCGCTTGGCGAAGGCGCCGGTACTGTAGGTGGAGTGTTGGAAGGTGCTGGGCTGGCGACGTTTCCGAGTTGATATATCTTAACTGATTTAACTAACCAGTATCTAATTACATCACTTTAGTCTCTTTTCTTTCCCATTCAGCAGAAAGAATAAAAAGAATCTCAAGGATGGAAACTCACTGATCACCAAAAGCCTCCGGCTTACCCGCCACATAGTCCACACAAGTCGCTGCCTTTGGTCCACAAGTAGCATCACTTGACCAAACAGCACTTCCCCAATCACCACAGAATGTCGTATCAAAGATCAATCTATTCTCTTTGAAATGAGTATCAATATCACAATCACCTTCGAAATTTGAAACTGGAGTTCCCCATTTACTTGGATCGGGATTTGATCCGTTGATATCTGCGGGTGCTGTTCCGGCTGGGAAGAAATAGACACGGATGTGGGAGGAGGTCCATTCCATGGCATAGATACCACCGCCATTGAGGTTGAATCCTCTGCCATAGCTGTTGGTGCGTGGATCGCTGATTCCACAACCGACACCGACGGGGTTGGCGAAGTTGTTGCAGTTGGCGCTTTGAAGAGTACCAGTTTGTCCAGAGCCAGCAACTGAGCAAGTTGGCCCACTTTATTCGTTCATATTAGTGAAACTGTCCCAAAGTGATGTTTATGATTTGAAGGGAGACTAACGAGTGTAAAGACATGAGATTGTGGTTCTGGCTATTCACACCCTCAATGACGTCGATTTCTCCTGAAACCGCCGTTAGCAATTGACTTCTCCCTAAAGATGCGGTACAGCATACCATTGTATGGCCAATTATTACCCACAGTCCACACTGTACGAACAGATTAGTCTAATATCCACTGACAGCTACCAGATTCATTAACTCACTCGCTGGCCATGAACCACAGGCGCCACCAGGCATATGACCCAAATCCGCAATGAAAAGCCCATGGGTCCAACTCTTTTTACTTTCAATCCTCACGCTATTTCTTCCCGGTCCACTAGGATCCAATATCTTCTTGGAATCAACTCCCATGTAAACCCCATCACTTCTCACAGATATCAATCCTTGCTGCGACGCATCGCTCTCACTCACATACGTCACAAAACCATGAGTCGGATCTGGCGCTGTGAAGAAATCAAACGCATCGAAAAAAGTGTTGCCACTATAGCTTTCTTCTAATTGGTATCCTGTGAGTGCCGTAATGGAAGTTATGAAACTAGAGATGGTAAGGCATCTCAAAAAGAGTGATGAGGTTGCCATTTTGGACTATCTTCAAATGTATGAAGGAATAAAGGAGATGAAGAAAAACGAAACGAGGAGAAACGAGAGACTGAATAAAATGCAATATTATAAGATAATAGGAAGAATGAGCTTATAAGAGGCGGGTATTAGAACACATTCTTATGTTCTTCATATTTACTTCTGAGACTACTAGACTCAGGCCAAGTGTTGCCATAGCCACTGGTTTCCGTTGCCTCCAACCCATTAGGTATTTATTGATATGTTGGGAGTATTTTTAAAATCTTCTCGGAATGAAACTCGCATTCCTAGGGATATTGACGTTGGTATTGGTCACCGGAGAATGTTCCGTTCCTCTAGTTTCCATCAACCGAGCAAAGGGGTTCAGAAAGCGGAGATTCGAAATGCACCATATGAAGAATGAAGGGGAAGTCAATAAATGTATATATTGGATGGACTACCATATAAGATGTACTTTTCTTTGGCCTAACCTCCTGTTAAAATTACTTACTGAGTTCATTGATGTTCCAATTTTGCACGTTACAATCTCACCCATTGAAGCTTGCTTAGGAAGAACGCGATGGTTTGGTAAACATTCAGATAAGACATAAACCCAATTGATAGCATAGAACACGGTAAGAAAACTCGAAATCTTTCATATTCTCCATGTCGATCTGGTCTAGAACAGAGTTGGTTGCCAGGTGAAGCATACCTAGGACTTGCGCTTCGAGTTACCTTGACAATGTGAGACATTTGAGCGATCGTCGAAGTAGAGTACATAGATCATCAATTGCCCTGAGCAACGAGTAGACTCTGTTGATGATCTTCGCATGGAGACAGTATCTCGTGGCTTACAGCAAAGCACTTGAGATTCGGAGTCGAGAATGACAATCGAGATCTATGAATCACGTGTTACGAGCATCTAAAGATTCTGTTGCACATCTACAATTTTCACCTTTGCAAATTCATTTACGTCTGAAGTTGCAGCTTAGATATTCATTCTATCGAAATGAAACAAAATCGACATGCTTTGAGACTCATACAATACGTCACGCTCAGAATCCAAAGCTTCTATTGCAAGATCATAAGAAAATGGACTTCGTAAATATAAATATAATGTTGTAAAGTAAACAATCTCCCGAATCCCTATCCAAGCACCAACACCGACCAAAGCGCAAATCCTCAATCTTCGATTTATAATATACAAAAAGATCATTTTGTCTTCCCTCTATTCTAACAAGAGTACAATCTTTTGCATGGGGCTTGATTCATATCCCTCTTACAATTTCATTCCCAATGCTTTTCCGACTCTCAAACTCTGTCTGATACTCAGATCCAACATAATTTCCTCACTTCCTCCGGGAATGGCATAAGCTCTAACATCTCTGTAAAGTCTCTCTACCTTTCCACCTTGTCCACCACGACTATAACTTAGACCTCCAAAGATTTGACTTGCCTCTCTGGCACAAAATTCAAAGGTAACAGTAGCTTGAGCCTTGAGACCTGCGATTGGCCCACCAAGTCTCAACATAGCTTCTGTCTCTCCCATCTTTGAGCATTGGTAGATGAGAGATTCAAGCCAAGAATATGAGGCTTCGATTTGACGGGCCATGTGAGCGAGCTTGAGGCGGATGACAGGGTGGTCAATGAGTTTCTTGCCAAATGTGCGACGCTTATGTGCGTACTTTACACATTCCTCGTAACAGACACGGGAGAAACGGAGACATTGGATGATGATACCGATTCTCTCATGATTGAAGTTGGTCATGATGACTATGATATTGTTAGCGGGTTTCCAAAGACATAATTCTAACGAAACATACCTTTGAATCCTTGGTTCTCCTTTCCGATAAGATTTTCAACTGGAACCTTCACATCCTCAAATGTGATATATGTAGTTCCACTAGACCAAACACCTTGACAATCCATCTTTCTCGTGCTAACGCCACCAGCCGATCTCTCGATAAGAAGAACACTGACACCATTCATGCCATCCTTTCCGGTTCTAACCGCAGTTGTGAAATAATCACACCAAATACCATTAGTGATCCATTTCTTTTCACCATTGACGATATAATGTTTTCCATCTTCAGTCAGCTTAGCTTCACAAGTCAAATTCGCAACATCAGAACCAGCATCTGGCTCCGTAATAGCCAAACAAATTCTCTTATCACCGTTCAAGATCCCCGGTAAAATTCTCTCGACCAAAGGTTTCTTTCCAAATTTAACCAAAGGCGGACAACCAATTCCGAACCCTCCGATGACATTCCACACAAATCCACCACTTGCCGCACGCGACAATTCATCTGTGAGAAGCATTTCATGGAACAAATCCCATTTCTCGGGCGCCACGCTCTTGATTCTATTCTCTGTGTATTGAGTTGGATAATGCATACCCATCAAGCCAGCCAAATATCCTCGAGTTCCCATTTGTTTGTATATTTCCTCTGGGACTTTTCGTGCCTCGTCCCATTCACCGACATTTGGTTCGATTTCGGCTGATACCCATTCACGGATTTCTTCGCGGAGAGCAGCATGCGTCTCATTGAAATATGGCGAGTGGTACTATTGACACATTAGTGTAATTCGCAGATTCGCAAGAGTGGAAAAGACATACACCCTGATACCACGATGGATCCGCAAACGGAATCAAATCACCATACGGATCCAATGGTTCCGACTCCTCCTCAACCTGCTTTGCAGCGGCTGTTGGAGCTGGCACCACAGCACCGCTTTCCGCCTGTGGCTTGACTGCTTCTTTTGCTGGTGGAGGAGTCGCAGGTGGTGTTGGTGGTGCGGCGGCTTTCTTTGTGTCTAATGATCCCACCTGTAGCTTTGCCTTGTATTTCTTGAGAATACCCTCATTGTGGTATTTCCAGAATTGTTTTGAAGCATCTTTTCCGGCAACTCTTGTAAGAATCTTTTTGCCACCTGGATGGTCGTCTTGGAATTTTGTGAGATCATAGACATCTTCATCTACGACAACGAAGAGATCATCGGGCTTATTGTGCGATGCAACATCACTCTGACTGAAAGTCTTCGACATTTTTCTATATGTGTTGGGTTCGTATTGTATGATTTGGTAATGTAAGTCTTGCAATGTAGATGTATTGATTCTAGATAGTAAATAAGAACAAGAAAGTAAGTGGATAGGAATAAAGTAGGTGAGGTGTGAAGAATAAGATGTTTTTATTAATTATTCGGAGATGCTACTCGCTTTTGTTTGATCAGCAACTTTCTCTTTCACATGTCACTTTCACTTCAAACAAACATCGCATGCAATTCTTGATTCAGCTACACCCCGTCTTCCGTTACCAACCAATTTAATACTGCATTTAAACTCTCTTCACCCCGGATTTTCTCCATCTTCTACATGTAAATCCTGTCACCTGCCTTCCGGAAACACCTCATGTGCACTCTGTCTTACGATTTCCCATTATATGATTGGTCAATACATCGCATTTGACATGTGAAATCCTACCGGTTGCACTTAGCGCTGGCACCCGGATGCCGAGGTATACTCACCAACACCGAAAATAGAACACACGTGACTGTTCTCGGTGTTTTTGAGATTCATTTCATTCAAATGAACTCAAAGAAGTGCAAACGAAGAACTCTCAGATAAAGTACTAAGTTTCACCGGATTCTTCACATGTCATGCATGCCACTAGATCTGACTTGGGATGGAATCATAATATGCTATGGTATTTTACTAATGAACGCTCAAGTCAAGTACGAGTCAAATACTAACTTTTGGCCGTGCAATGTTGCTTCAAAAAATCCTCCCAATGATATCGAGCGCATCCGTTCCACTGTTCAAACTTCAGACCACCCCTTATAAACAACCCGACTTCCATAAACTTGTCCCTTCTTGAGCAATACTTGTCCTCTCCACTTTTCCTCATTAATTGCATTGACATATCGACTTGGCTCGACACAGAATCCACTTCTTGCTCCTCTAGCCTCAAGTCCCTCAACTGCTGGTACGTCGATGTATTTTCCAGTATAGAATTGGAATGCGGGCTCGGTACTCAAAACTTCCAGATGGATACCAGTTTCTGGGTGAGAAGCTTTGACTAATGTAGTGAGAGGCGAAGATCGTGTATCGAGGGGAGTAGATTCGGATTTTGCATCCACGATGAAACAATCATCAACATTTGGTTCCTCGGGTCCCAACGTAAATTCCTTGTTAGGTGTAATACTGTCATATGGCTTTGGTCCAGAGGTAGGAATACCTCCATCGTCGACTGGTAGGTAGTCGTTGGTACATAATGTGACTTGTGTACCTTCGATTGTCGATTTGCCAGTGAGGTTGAAATACCTGTTATGACATCAATTAGCTCTCTTCTGAGGAAAACTAAAACTAGTTCAGTTAAACAAAGCCTACTCACGAATGATTGGTGACATTGACAACTGTCTCTTCAACTCCCTTTCCATCATCCACCAGCTTGACCTCATATTCCATACCCAACACTCTGACTTCCTTACCATCGACCTTTTGTTTTCCAGTGGTATAAACCACACTAACATCCAACGTTCCCGGATAACCCTCCTCACCATCCTCATCCCTCAACGTAAACTGCACACTCTCACCCCCCTCCAATCCCTCTACTCCCGGAATTTTTCTCAAACCCACCAACTTCGGGCCTTCCCAAACACGTTTACCCCATCCCTTTACACCACCATGTAAAGCATTCACCCCATTATTCTGCGCAAGAGTGTAAGATTTTCCATTCAAAGAATTGATTTTCGCATTCGCGATACGATTCGCGACTCTTCCGATCGTTTCACCAAAAAATGGCTGATTGTATTTTTGATATAGCTCTGCGGTTGGAAATGACTGGACAATATTCACCGATTTGTCTTTTGTGGGGACGAGGAAGCTTTGGATGATGGCTCCCAAAGGGAGGAATTCGAAATCTGCGTCAAGAGGCATTTTGATATTTTCGTTGTGATAGTTGACGGTTGTAGGACTTAGATGAGTGTGAAAAATTCAAGATCATGTAAAATTGTGAATCGAGATTTCCTTTACGAGAAGAAAATTAGTGAGGTCATATGAGGAAGGAGGGGTAAATGTGTCTTCAGCCTGATTTCGAGGAGGTGGGGTGAATCTTTATGGGGAAAGTGGGGGGTGGGTTATCCATGGAAGACTATTTTTCCGTATAAGTATGATTAAAAGGGGGCTGGTTTTAGATGAATCTTAGGTACTTCGCCTAGTTGATATTAATCCATGCAGTTTGTGTTTATTTTTAAAACCCCAAGGGGACATCGAAATGTTTCTCCAGAATCCAGATGTCAATTTTGCCAGCGTTCTCTCTGTTCAACAAAAAGGCTGGACATATCATTTTGTCAAAGCCCATAGCAATAACTTGATATCTTATAGAAATTGCTCCGGTTCTATATAACGTCTGTAGTGACAGTGATACGACATTGTTGAATGAAACAAAACCTAGATCCAATGATTAGTGTCTCGCCAATTTTCCAAGAATTTAGCGCTCCTGCCCCTTTTTCGCTTCCGAGATTGATTCCTCTTCATAGACTGAATTTCTTATTGAGAGTATATTTAAATAAGCTAAAATCATCTTGCCAGTGAAACTCGCCGTATAGTCCATACAATAAAAGCCTAACCATTACCCACAGCTTTCTAATGGTATTTCGGGGTTGTCCCGCGCGTAGAGGCCCTATTACCATAATCCTGAGTCGTATCAGGCGTGTAAACTGAGGGCTGCGACTAAGCGTATTGCGAGACAGGTTATTCCGGGAGAGGCTATTTTCCGAGATCACTCGGCCAGGTGCTCAGCCTTTCCCCTTGCTCCTCGTTCAAGAAACTGCGGTAAAGAAACCATCTTGCGATCCAATTGGTACAATCTCTAGTTGGACGAGCAAGGTTCCAATAATAAGCCGTTTGATGAGTGCCACCTTTATTTATCGATTCCATAGCCAGGTTTTTTGAATATTCTGTAAAATCGCTCCAGTCGTAAGGCGTTCCGATTTCGTCATCTTTTAGGTGGGCTTTGTCGGAAGTAAGCCATGTGTAAATGGTCTCCGATTCTTCCTACGCATCTGTGAGCATGGAATCCGGTGCGTAAATCAAGGATAATTCTTACTTCCATCAGTGCATATGTTTCAGGATCTATTTGTAGATGCTTCATAAACGCTTCTTTAGTCTCTGAAATGGCTAATGGTTCTAGCGTACTTTGAAGTGGAGCTCTATGGCTCCTCATGTGATAATCAAGGAAATCTTTGCGTAAATAAGACATACCACAGCCAGGCAAGTGGCAAGCAAATCGAGGGGTGGGGGCAACATTATTGACAAGAGATCCAGTAAGAGGAGCCGGAGGCGTAGATGCCCGGTCTGCTTGCGGAACTGCCCGGGCGGATCCTAGAATTTCACCATCCTTAGTTAAAAGCATACCTACGATGGTAGCTGCACTCTTAATAGGTAATTTATGAGAATCCGCAACACAATTATCCACCTGTGTGAGCTGATCATCTCTTCTAGATTTCTCGATCGGTCTTTCATCAGTTTCAGACGCAAAAGTCTGTCCAAATTCCTTCTCTGCCAGATTTTTTGTTCTTTCTATTTTAATTTTAGATGAACTTTTGGAGTATCTTGGCTAGAAGTGTAGGGTTCAGCAGCAGTGGTAGAATAGTGATATGACGAGGGGTAGGGAGTGATGTTATTGAAGCCAGGGTTGGAAGAGGATGGCATTTGCATTGACTTTTGCCTTGTGTAGGCTGGAAGAGGCAATTCGTCGTTGATACGGGCTGGTGGTTGTTGTTTCGTCTTTAATGACTGGTTATGACCACTCCGAGCAACTTCCAGCGTTGAAGGACTTGATGAAGAGATTACCTTTATGCTTGGCTTCTTGATAATACCCACAACATTGAAGGCCGGATGTTTTCCAAGGCAGACCCATATTGGTGTTGGCATGGAAACCAAGATTAATGTTGAAAGACTACGGAATTTAGCTTCAACAGTGACAGATTTGGCAATAACGGGCATCATGCGAAGCCATTCAGCGAACAAATCCGCAGATAGTTCAGGAACCAGATCTTCGTCGAGTCTCACACTTAGTAAGATCCTTGGAAATTGCTCATCGTCAGAAGGCAGGCTCGATATAGGCGATGAACCAGAACCTTGGTCAGAATCTGTCCTTTCATTGATCTCGAATGAAGCGGGACTTGGCGAATCCAGTGATTGTGAAGGACTTCCGAAAGACATTGGCTCCAGCTTTGGCCTTGGGTTTACTGAAAGTTGTATGCTGGATGGTAAAGCTTGATTTTGAGTAAGAACGACATGTAGTGGAGCTTTCTGTAATTCTCTGCCTTCAGGCATCCAGTTTGTTAGTCGGCACAGTATTCTATTGTACAGAACCGCTGCAGTAAACTTTGGATATGCGCTCAACAGGCGTAATTCTGTTATCAAGGCATAGGTGAATGAATGGCGCCCGACGCCATTTGCAACATCGTTGAAGCCACAAGCAGCAATAAGCTCTGCAGTTCCACACCCTTCTCCTGTATTAGCAGTGCCCGAAGAGCAACAGTCAAGCAAGAGTAGAACGTCGGATTGTGCTTCTTCTAAAGAATTTTGGATCCCGCCCCATTTCACCATGCTGAAACTAGGGTCTCGAGTATCAGAACGACTAAGCACATGAGGTATTAGTTTAATGAGAAAACCATAGGAAAGTTCTTAAGCAGGATATCCAATACTCTCGTAGTAGCAAAGTTAAGAGGAAATTCCAGCGCCAAATCAACATACGAAACAAATCCAGGTCCCAGAATGATGCCAATATCTCAGATGAATTCGATACTTCGTTTGGTTTCAAGAAAGCAACAACTATCACTGGCTAACTATCATCCAGACAATTGAACACATTCGTCGAACCCGAGGCTTTTCAATGACAAAATACATTCAAATATCAAGATTTTCGAAAAACCGGTGTGTGCCAGATTTAAGCTTAGGAGTGTCTCGTAGGAAATGTTTATTAATCACTTACCTCACCCAACAAGGCTGCCGGTTTTGAGCTAGCATGCCATGCCCGCCATAATAAACAATCTTCAGGTCTTCCTTACTGTCTTCATCTAGTTCAACAAAGTCCAAGATCTTTTGATTCAATTTTTTGTGGCTTCCGCCGCAGGGAATTCGATATATTTGTACTTCGTACTTGTAAATGGAAGCTAAAACAATACCTAATTCATGGACTTCTAGCGAAACGGGCAATTGCAGGTCTTCATCCTCCCATAATACAAGAAGAGCATAGACTCGGGCATATTTGGCTACAGCACTTCCAGTTAACAATATTTTCGCGAAGATTTGAACATAAAGGCAGACAATCGTTCACACAGAGTGATCAGATGTTGAGTGTTGAATATGACTTACTCTTTTGATCACTCGGATAGGCCGCATTAGCAGCTTTTTGTACCCTTTCACCAAAGTCGTGTAAGGTGACATGATACTGTAGTTGACTCAGATCATGAGGCTCCATTGAAGGGTCAGAAAAGACATCGTTCATTTCAGTGTCTGTCATTGTTCCATTCAACTTCAATCATTGAACTTTTAGAGTACGATTTTGATATTGAAAGCTTCATTCCAGGGTAAGAGAGAATCAATCTGCAGTCAGCCTCATCTCACTGAGTAACCTGAATTGGTAGGTGGTATTAGCCTAGATGCTGGTAAATCTTGTGTGACATCGCCACGTTTTTAAAAATCACGGATTTCGAGGAAGACTCGAAGAGAAATTGTCGGGGTCAATACAATACGCTTTTATGTCTCGGACCTACTGATGGGTCACAACAATTATTTGGAGGATTGAGTCATAAAGGTATTGTTGGATTTTTGAAGGCAGTTGGATTTGAATAAGCTTCAAGGTGAGTGACTGAGCTAGCTGGACAGAATTGGGGTGACATTTACCTGTGATTTTCAGAGAGAGGAGTATTTGACAAACATTGAGCTGACACCCAATCATACCCTTTACTAATTCATCGACCTATTATGATGTTTCCTCCCCAATCCATACCTATCTTGCGCGAAAGTGTACTCAAGCATATACTCATTGATATCGCTATAGAGTGAGCCCCGCAATCCTACTTGCAAAACTCGCCCTTATCGTCATCCTCAGTCCATCATATGACTATCTGCAACTTATCCTCTTGTGGAGCGATCGCAGACCCATGACTGGGGCTGTAATTAGTACTTGTCATCAAAGCCCACAGACTTGTATTGAATGAATCAAATACAAATATTTCCTAGCTTCCGCAACAGGAAACAATGTGCCAATGTTATATTTGCAGCGATGGAGAGATATATCTTGGTGAAGCAGCAATCGTATATCAAGAATCTTGGGGTTTAGATTAAATGAAAAGTATAAAACAAGAATGTGGATTTCCGAACTCAAAGAAACTTCCTCCTCGAGCGACATGGAGAGAGCAAATGTAAAAAGAATAATACGAGTACCGTCTCTATAGTTATGCACATAAACGAGGTGGTATCCATCACCGAAGTACACTGCACTAGTGCCAACAAATACTGTATATACTCTCTGAAGCAACTTCGGCATGTGATCTAGAAGTTTAATCCCCGTTCTGGCAAAGTCTAATAACAGAAGATTAGAACGAAGAATGCGGATATCAATGCATGTATATGCAGTAGATCTGTGAATGTAGGTAGCGGAGGTTCGATACTTGTACCGGCAGCCCTATGGGAGAGAAACTTCTCATTGATGCGAAGAATTACTCCAATGAAGGCATTTTGTTTTTGATTCAAGCTGGAAGTTCATCTCACGTAGAATTTTAGTAAACGTACGTCATGTCTGCAGGAAAGTACCCAATGCCAACGGAGGTACGCCCAAACCACTTAGTTTGACACGACGGAAGCAACATCCCACCAACGGACTCCTCCCGTTGTGGCTCAATCAGGTTGTTCAGAAGCGCGCGAGTGACAATGTTCCGACATTTATCCGACCGGATAAGGAATTACCACCAACAAAATCAGACTTGTTTCTGAGTCTTTCTTCTCTTCTGCTCCCTTCCTATGGGCCTATTCGTTCAACGGCATCGATATCATCAACATCGAAGTACCCTTCAAAATCTCTGTACAAGGATGCAACATTGCATACCTGGAAATTTCGGTGGAGTCGTCGAAAGCTTCTACCCCATGCTCTTAATGTCGTGGATCCAGCTGCAGCCCTGCAGCAACGGCCAAACATTACCATTAAGGAAGAGTTCTCGAAATTCCACCATCCAGTCATCCTCCCTTGAACCCTTTTACTCTCCACTCATGAGTCAACACACCATGCTGTATACTGTACTGTATCATGCTTTTTTGTCGTGTCCATATACAATTTGGTCCCGTTGTCCCTCTACCATCCAACCAATTTTTGATACGGTGGGGTACTAGAGGAAATAGCTACGACGCTAATCCCATTACGGTAGGATGTAAACAATTAAATTCATTTTGATTTGATTCCGCATATCATATTCATACCGGAAATTCACTCGACCCATTCTCTTTAAGCTCTTGCTTTGTGCTTTTGTTTTCAAGTCTATGAAGCATCGAGCATTTTCTTAATCTCATACGCATTACACTGTACAGTATTCACCTTGCTTTGCATTGAGACAACAAGCATATCGATTGTTGATCAAGGTAAACACTCATACATCGAGGGTATGGCGGAGAACGACGTAACTATGACCATGGAGGTTGATCAACCTATTGCTTTGCGGAGACAAAGAAGAAGTTGTCTTGTCCCAGAGACACAATCACGATCAACTTCTCGAGCTTCTACGCCGTCTATGATCGAGGTATCAATACCTTTACCCGCAACACCCAGATCAAAAAAGCCCAAGAAGAAGGTGAGATATTCCGACCCAGGTGCAAACCTTCTTCACGAATCTTCTTGTGGCTTGACACCATTCCTCCGAAAATCTTCTCTCTCATCTGCGAGGTCAAACCGTCGACATTCAGCACCTGTAAAGCGACTACTCGATCGTCGGCAGGACAACGAGCCATTCTCCGGAGAATTACAATTTGCCCCACTACGACAAGTGTTGGACGGCAGAGTTACAAGGCGTATGAAGAGAAACCGACTGAGTGAGGAGACCAACAAGATTGACTGGGAGAAGAAACATGAAGCCAAAGCAAGAAAGTCAGAAATATTTCGACTCAAGAAGGAATTGGAGGAAAAGGACTACGAATTACAATGTATCCAGGATGAGCATGACGTTACAAGCCAATTAGGACTTGAGGCAGGAACATCTACTTGTGCAAACCCTCTTATCATGGAGAAATTTCAGGAAATGGAAAAAGAGATTCAGGAGCTAAAAGCAGAGCTATCACAAAAGGAAGAACGCTCGAACGCTCACCATGACTGGCAAACTGGAACGCAGGATCCATTTGATTTCGATGACGATGATGATCACAGTATCAATATGGGTATTGTCGGAGACCACGATGATGATACTGGCATGGTGATCGACTCTTCATATGATGACCATAAGATGGGAACTTTTGACCATCCCTTTTCCACTTCCAATGGCCTAACAAACACGCACAATATTTCTCCTCCATCGCCACCTGCCACAATAGCTGATACATCTTCACAAAAGCCTTCCCATGCATCAATATCGACACAAGCCGACTTCCCGGATCCTCTCAATCAAAAGCTCGAGGCTCAACTTCTTCACTTGCAATCTGAGATCAAGAGTCTTACTTCCACTTTAGCACTAAATAAGGATCATGAACATCGTCTTTCCCAAAAGTTAATGTCATACATCCCATCTGACCAATCTCACGATAGCTCATCACTCGACTCAGCACTTGATTCAATTCTTACAACTCTTACTATTGCTCAAGCTCAGGCCCTTGAAAGGGAGGCATCATTTAATGCTCTCTCAAACGAAGTAACCTCGTTAGGATTCTCCACCGACCCAGAAGCCACCATCAAGATCATTGTCGAACAATTCCGCAACGCAAGACTCGAGTTCGAATATCTTAATCATGGAGAAGAAACCGAAGGATTTGAAAATGACAAACTTTTGAGTATGTTACTGGGACGTCTTAAGACCTTGGCCGAGAAAGCAAGAAAACAAGATGAAACTATCGATCAGTATCATGCACAAGAAGTCATTCTTAGACGACAACTGTCCTCTCGTATTGATGCCTTGCAGGATGTTCAAAAGGAATTATCCGCTGTCACAACCGCTGTTTCGAGAATGAGTGAAGAACTCGCCGAAAACGAAATCTCAAACTCACGTCTTCAAAGTGCACTGAATGGATACCGAAGCGAGGTCTCTGGGTTGGAGAATCTCGTCGAGAAAATGGAAAAGGAGCACAAAGTCGTCGAGGATGATCTGAAACGTGGAATTCATAACCTAGACGATCAATTACAACACGAAATTTTCAGGGCAAATGCGTTTGCTATGGAGCTTGAAGGGAAGAACATGATTGTGGGCGAACTTTCGGCAAGATTGACGGCTGCTTTGAATACTTCTGCCACCCTCCGGGATCTCCTCCATGAGAAAGATGGACAAATACTTCTCTCAAATCGACGAATCAGCGAGGGTTTAACAGAACGCGATGGGAGAATAGCAGAGCTTCAGGAAGAATTGGAAAGAACAACATATATTCTGAAGAACACTCAAAAGGCGGTTGAGAACTTGCGACAAGAAAACTCAGATTTGAAGACCGAAAACGAAGATCTTGAGCACTGCGCAGAACAATTGAAAGGACTAGTCAGCAAGGAAAAGAGAAGAGGAAAGAAAGCAGTGAGCGGATTGTTGAAACAAATCGCGAGTGTTGGGGATTCCGCAAAGGGATACATGGAGAGTGATAATGAGTCCAGTGAGACGGAAGCTGGAGAATTCACAAGGAATCTGCAAATTAAAGTCCCGATTGTCAGGAAAGGTCAGTTTCTAGATGCGACAATGGCGAGAAGAAGATCAAGTGGTAAAGTGGGAGCTAGTGGGAAGAAGAAGAGGAGAAGATTTGATAGTGGGTTAGGATTTTTGGAGGAGGAAGAAGATGAAGCTGGAGATGAGGGAGAGGAGAGAGAGGATATGTGCGGTAAGAGAGAGGAAGTGGATTTACTTGCTTGATTTATTACGCTTTCGTTAATGACTGTCTGGATTTCTGGAGTTGGATGCTGGATACCTTATACCATATTGTACTATACCGCTCTATACCATTTGGGGACTGGGAATGGGGTGGGCGGGATAGGAAGGCATATACATGGTATGAATGGGAAACTGGATAGACAGATGGGTGAACAGAAGTCCGTCTGTCTGTCAAACATATCTGTCGATATAGTTTTATTTGTTTTATTTTGTTATTCTCCGGCATGTCCAGAATAGGAGAAATTGGCTGGAGTGGTATGATATGACACGATACCACTTTTTATGTATGCAAATGGAGATTTGGTGGCGAACATGATATGAGGGTACTTTTTTAATTAGTTGTAATGATACAGATAATTTGGCATATGTTCTACTTGTGTTTATCTTGACTTCAGGATTTTATGTGCTCTATTCGTTCATCTGCACTCAAAGTCCTCGCCCGTGATAGAGCGGGTTCATGAATTTGAAACGAGCTCTAAGAATGATAGTTTTGTTTAGGATGTATTTAATGTGGTAAGCTAAGTGAAATATATTATGAATGCTCTTTTTGGGTTACATGAATGGGTGGATTTTGTTGATAGTGATTATGTCGGAGACTCACTTAGGTTGAGCTACATTCGTGGATGTGAAGTGTTGGAAATGGAAATTTGGGAGATATTGGTCTGTTGTAATTTATTTGGAGGGTGGCTTATTATGGTAGGAGAGGGGGTTTAGATGAGGCTTGGGTAAAGTGCGATGAAGCTGTTTGGTTGATTCAAGAGGGTAATGGAGAGTTTGAGATAGTGATGGGTTGGAATATTTTATGCATATTGCATGCATATCAGAGGAAGGTAAAAAGTGTGAGAGGGGAGAGGGGAGAGGGGAGTTTGTTTCGGGGTTGATGTGAGTTTTGGAGATGGGGGGAAGTGAAAGTATAGTAACGCGGATCGAGGAATAGTTTAAGAGAGAGGGGGGGGGGGGAAGTTGGGTGATAGGCGAAAAAGAATGTTACAAAGACAGTGCATAATTCTGTAAGAGATGTTGAGTCTTTTTATGCTTAATTCAACTTTTCAAGGATATAGAACATTATTCCTAGAATTCAAAAGCCTTGCATTACGTATCGATCAAAGACTGACCAAAAAGAGTTCTCACGATCGTTCACCCCTCTCATAGAAAACCCCCTCCCCGAAAATTCTCCCCCTTTCCCCCTTCAAACCCCCTTCATCCCCCAACCTAATCAACTATTCCAACAGAATCATTACAATCCCCATGAATCCAATAACATTTCCCAAACCCCCACCTCTCTATCTCTCTCCCCTCCTTTCCAAAAAGTTGAACTTCCCAAATCTCAAAAACTCTGAAAAAAAATCAACTTTTTCATCCTCCCAACATTCTCGAGACTTCCTCTAAAACTTCAGGAAGAAAATAAAACAACTCTGTCACTTGGGACTGGAAAATCAACTTTTGAGATGTGCAACAAGGAGGGGAAAGAGTTGAAATCAGGTGCTTTGATGAGCTGTAGTTGGTTCGGCTAGGGTTCGGAGATGGAAGATTGTTGTTCCGAGGAGGGGTTAGGTTTGGGTGAGTTGTTTGGGGAACTGCAACTTTTGGATGTTGGTTGTGGTTATTGTTGGTTGAGGATTGTGGATTTGAAAGTTGGTGGATGTAGATTGCTGAATGTGTGAAGTATGGGATGTTTGTTGGAGACTTTTAGTTATAAATAGTTGTTTATTAGTTTGTTTGTAGAATTGAATGATTAGTTTTCTGGGGGAAATGATAATTGATATGATGTGGACAAGAGAAAGAAGTTGATGAATTCTGGTTTCTTTGATTTAACTGTTGTTGTTCTCCTTCAATCAATCCCTCTCCACCCCTTCATATTTACTTCTCCATATTCTGTCTGTGATACATTTCGTTATAAGCTTATAAATGCCTTCTTGCTTAGTTCATTGAAGGTTGGTGTGCATTGTGTCTCAATATTTGGAGGATGCAGAGGATGTTGGAAATATTGCCAATTGAGCTTTTGTTTTGTGTATAACTGTGAGTGGTTAGTTTTTTTTGTTATCAGAGACATTTCTGCATGTTTTGGTATCAGTATGCTGTGAAGAAAGTTCTTTTCCTTCCCAAGTCTTGCGACTGCAGCTATATGTCTTAAATGCCAGTAGTCTTTTGTTCACAGGTTATCTCTCCTCTTGTCTTATTTCTACCCTAGATCTTATGGTTTATTTCTTTCTATAATTAGATGCATATTTTAATTTTTCAATGATAATTGTAATATAACTTATGACTCAAGTCTGTCTAAATAGTGTTTGTGACCAAGCGACTACACATGTCTCTCTTCAACCACATTTTTACCTACACTTACATCTATATAGTCTTAAATGTCCTGGGAATAATATTGATACAGACAGAAACTTTATACATCACATCTTCAAACCGACCTCTGATACCCCCAAATAACAGTAAAATACATCAAACACTCATGATGCAATTTTCCCTTTCTCCCCTCCTCCCTCATCAACCTTCTCCAACAGCACAAAATCAACTTTTATCAAAGGAAAAAGTTATTAAAATGATAGAAAACCTGTTTACTGACACCAGCAAAGTCCATTCTTTCAAACAAATCCAACCGTGAAGCAAAAATCCCAAATCTGCAAAATCTCCCAAGAAATCCAACTTTGAGATATCTCTCTAGAAATCAACCTCAAAATCTAAAAATTAACTTGGAAATCTAAAATCAACTATTTCAGATATGCAACAAGAAACTCTCGAGCTGCAACAGAATCATGTGCTTTGAGATTTTGGGAAGTGTGGTTGGATGGTCGGAGAAGGGGAATAGTTATTCCGAGTCCGAAGTTGTACCATGGTGGTTCGTGCACGAAGTTGTTCTGTTTGGGCTTGGTGGGGTGGGTAGCTCGAGTGGCTTTTGTGGACTGTGCTCAATAATGCTTGTTACGACTTTACTAACAGAAGGTGGGGATGGAGCTGGTTTTTGGGTCTTTTCTAAAGAAAATGTTCTTAGAGGACTTGATTTCTCGTACTGGATCATTTATGCTTGCTGTCATGTCAAGCTTTCTTCTATTGTGCAAAGGAGATGGAGACTACATGGAAAGCTTTCCTTCAGGAAGGAGGACAGAAGATGATATATTCCTTGAAATTACGCCATCCTATTCCTCTTAAAACTTCTTAGATTTCAAACATAGTCTCATCAAAATATTCTATACCTATCGACTCATGATATTTTTACTTTCTCTCCCACGGTAACTTCATTCCTGGCGTATCAGGTACTCCGTCACTCGGTTTTGGTTTCCACATCCACCAAGTAGTCTTTCCTTTACACTCATGTGCCATCTTACGCCAAAGAAACCCTGGTTTTCCGTTCTTGTAAGTGGTATCAACGATTACCTTATGAATGGTTCGGAAACCATATTTCTCATACAGAGATATTCCCTCAGCAGAGGCCTCCACAAGTGCTTCTACATCCATATCTGATATCTTGGACATTCCGTAATCCATGAGTGAAGATCCGTAACCACGACCACGGTGGTCGGGGAGGGTAAACATCATGGAGAGTTCTGAAAATATTAGCATGAGGAACATGGCAGGTACCAAGACTCTTGAAGTGAAACTGAAGGGAACTTGAGAAATCTACTCACGAGCGTGGGGTCTTGTCATCCTTTTCGCCCTTATCCCAAATACCTGGCAAAGAACCGTCTTTACAAATTCACGTGCTTCTCCTTCGGGCCACAAAAGTACAAGGCTGTTGTCTTCCTTCTCATTTTTCTCTCCATTACTGATTTCATTATTCTTATTGCCATCATTGCCTTCACTTTCGCCACTCTCTTCATCTTTTTTCTCCCCAAACGGACTCACTTCATGAAATAGCCAATTCGCTGCCGCCAAAACCTTTCCAGCGTCCTCTCCTTTATCATCTTCATCAACGATGTACACCCAAAAAGAATCCTTATCCGCTTGATGAGATTCCCAGAATCTTTCCTTGACCCCCTGGATTGCAGTCGCTACTCCTTCGGCAGTAGGTTCTTTGATCGGGACAATGATACCCAGAAACGGGTTATAGGGATCAGCATACGATTCCCACATGCAATCTATGACAAGGCAAAATTCTTCGAAAGTTGCGACTGTGCGAAGAGTGGGAGCCATAGTGAGTTCGAGCAAGATATGGGCTCAGAACAATAGATTTTGGATAGGATAAAGCGGTTGTAGGAAGCGAATCTCAGATTTAAAAGCTCAGAGCCGCTGGCTATGATTTTTGAATGAGGTATCTCCAAGAGATATAGAGTCTGTAGAAAGACAATTATTGAACTTCCTCGTAACTTTCGAGGCGCAGCTCATAAGGGTATATGAATACATAAGCACTTGTGCATATGGATACCCAAGCTTACTATTAGGTATCTTCAGCTATCATGCGGGAAGTACGTTGATGTTGTTGGTGACTGTTGGAAATATCATGCATGACAAGGGGAGACTCGGTAAATAGCCAATAGGCGATTTTGTGGTGATCGGTTTAGTCCGGCCACACTAGCCATCAGTATTCCCATTTGGTTAATGAATATTGATATCAGGAGATGATATTTGTTTGTGGTATTTTTTTCTCCTCTACATGGCAGGTCAAATTCAATGCTATTTTACAAGATTGTAATTTTTTCCGGATCTATGGCTCAACTTAAATCCAATGAAAATTATCTCAAGTAGCAGAGACGATAAGTGGCAGTATCGTCAACAAGGTGACTGCAGAAAATGTCGTCTTGGATAATTTGAAAGCTACCCGTAGGACCATGAGCACATCTTGAACAACACACGTCAACTCTGGAGGTAGTCAGGACATTAATCATGGCAACTCCGCGAGAGCAATGGCTTTGAATGCTTATAGCAAAGGTTAGACTTGATATAGATTGATGATATAAGATACATTGAACGATGGTTATAATTAGGTAACTCCTTAGACTGTACATGTATATTGACTTTTCTGGTATGGGCGTAGCAAGATTTTACAGTGCCACTTATCTGCGTTTGGTATTGTGGCTGTTTTCCTAAGCTTCAAAACGAATAGAGGGGAAGAGAGAAGGCTTAGGAGATAGAAGACTGGTGCGACGACTTGATTTTGACATGAAAGATCTGACTGTGGAATTTTTGTGGAAATGTCACCATACTTGAGTATCGTCCGGTGTTACGTTGTCGTCAAATTTGTTTTTATGAATTACAAACAAGGCACATGTCACTTTTAGTTATCAAAGGAGATACATCATTTATCTGACTTGTGGCTGTCAAGATTTCATGATTATTCACTAGTGTTAAATGAAGAACATTGATATTTATTCAAACTTGCTGTCGAACGTGGAAAACCATCACGTTATTTGAGACCCGTGTTCCTCCTTCCCGTCCCCCAATTGCTCAAATTCATTGAACATATCCTTTTCCGGTAGCTGCCCTCCATAAAATCGACTCTAAAACTCTATGGCAACTTATTTCCCATTCAATAAACGACCCAAGATATCATTCATCTCGAAGATACCCCTCTCCTTGCGTTCTGCAAGGGCTACTTCCGCAGCAACCAAATCTTTAGGTGACGTCGAGAGGAAAAACTTCTTCGCTGTTTCCATATCATCCATATTGATATCCCTATTCGTCGTCTTCCCATTGCAATCAGCCCGCGAATCCCCCACAAGCACAAATGGACCGATCCATCCTCGTGTCCATCCTGTGAGCTTCTGGATACATATATTCTCCCCGCATTGATCGAGAACATCTCCATCATCCAAGCCAATGACAGTACCCGGTGTCCAGCCTGCAAGATCTTCTTTTTCTGGGTTTATCATCCAGCTTACAAGATCGTCTTGTAAATTGGCTGTAGTGTTTGCGCCTAGAGCCAAAATGGGAACGGGAAGAGGAACATCGTAACCAAGACAATCATGACAGCTCTCGCAGACAATACAGGGGTTGCAGAAGGGAAAACAGGGGATCAGATTGATAGTAGGACAGGGACACCAAAAGACTTGAGGGTTCTCGGTATTGGGTGGAAAGTAAAGTGCCAGTTTGTGTTGAGGTGTAGGACGAGCAACATGCTTGGAGACATTGGATATGCAAAAACTGAAGTGCTGGCCTCTGCAGAATTCAGAACAGTAGTATTCGTGATCAGTGCATTCGCAGACGAATCCTCTGCACGTAATTGATGTGCTACAAGCTCTGCATGGAACGGGACCGTCGTTCGTGGTGTGCTTGGTGAAGTTTGGTCGCGTGAATATTACCATATCGGGATGATCTAGAACTGACCAGCCGAACGGTGTCGACATTTTGTTGGATAGTGTTTTCAATTTCGATTTGGATTGAAATTGTTGGGTAAGAGTTGTCTATCGTATCGTATTGTATGGTATCAGAATAGCACTCTGCAATTTCGATTGAAATTGAACGATGATGTGGTTGTTGTTGACTGGATGAGAAGAGTTAAGAGTTTGAAGTTGAAGTTTCTCCAAGAAAAAGAAGTGGTGGATTGGTGAGATACTTTGAAGTATTTAACTATTCCGGAACCAGTCTGGATGTTGACCGTATTTATATTGTATGGTTTTCTTGAGCGCGCTAGTGCAGGTACAACAGATTATATTGAGTGAATAGATCACCGTTAATAAAGTTTGGACCGTAGTAGATAGGGCTGAAGAAAGGACCGTATGTATGCGTTGCCGAATGTTGAGCTCAAAATTTGAGTCCGTAGTATATCAAAAATGTTGAGCAAGATGCATGCTGGTAACAATCAAGATGAATGAAAGTCCAGATTATTGCCTGGAATATATTCAACAATCGGGTGATGTATTTGTGCTTTTTACTCAGGATGTAACTTGGTAGGTACTGATACTACATAAAGGTCATATAAAAACAACGTATCTCATTCGGAATTATCCACTACAAAATGTCCTCATTTCAAGTCGCTAAAGTGGAGAAGGAACATACAGAATTCGCCGTAAACTCAGCGGATTGCTTTGAATTAGTCTACGTACAATAGGACCTTACCACATACGGTTCTAAGTGCATTCGTTAAAGTTGAATCAAATTGATGATATTATCATGATACGGTTATGCTACAGAGAAACTAAGTGAGTACTAGAAGAACTCTGCCAGCTTGCACACTGGTATAAGTGGTGTAGCTACCATGGCACCTAGAGCGTGTTTCCCAAGTGCTTCTCATGCAAATACACATCTATGAACCAGGATAATGCGAAAGATTGTGCTGGATATCGGTAAGGGCTTCAGTTAATCCATGCGAGCCTCTTAACATTTCGCTTGAACAAAAACAAGCTGGGGATTAGTGTGGATGATTAAACCATCTTCGTTGGGCAATAATCTGCGTAACAATATAGAAACTGTAGCGTAGAAGTCTCATGAGACCATATCTCATATCATTATCTCATCTATCTAGCAGCAAATATCCATCATGATATTTCTTCCACGTGCCTCAACATCTTGTATCTTGTTATGTCTCTATTGCTATCATATCAAATCAATTCCCGCTTACCCTTTAATCTTTCCAAACGTAGGTATTCCTCAAAAAGACATCTCAACAGTCTTTCACAATCTCGGCATAGGTCTTGTATGATACAGATTTACCATAAGAGTGGTGTCTTGACTCGCAAAGATCAGCAAGAACAGTCGTAGGATGTCAAGATGGGCTCGCCATCTCTAACCTTTCTAGCTAAGCATAGGGCTAACGGAACCCCCCCATCCTACTCCCACCACTCCCAAGTATCGAACCAAGTTAAAGATGTCTGAAGTTTTAATTGACCGATTGATCTGTGAATTCGATAGTTTTCACCTATCTATTCGAAGAAGGAACCGTATCCGTTGCGTCATCTTGTAACACTTAATATACGGCAGCAAGAGTTGGCGACTTCTGAACATGGAAGTCAGGGTAAGTTTCATACCAAGAGGATCCATAGTAAGCCATTGATTCGAGGAATTCCGGTTTCGTTCGTTGATTCGCTCCATCCCTAATCCCGCGACGACGTGTAAGAAGCTCCAAATTCTGCACTCTTCTCTGTCCACTAGACTATAATTGCTTGAATGAAAGTCGATAGCAGGCGAAGCAGAAATGCTGGGACAATGACGCAACAATTCCGTAAATTTGAGTTCGAAGGTATAATGGTTTGTGTCCTTAAAAATTCCCCCCAGACATTTCATGGGCCCAAGTGTCCTTCCATAGCAGCTTCCTGTCATTGAAAATTCCAATTATAGTTGCCGTAGGGACTTTTGCGACAGATACATCGCGAAAAAGGATATCACGGTCAATTGTATTTTCATTTTCGGCAACGCTCCAAAAGGTGCATGCAGAACATTATGTCTCGATAGATACCGCCAATAGTAATACCTGCTGCACCAGATGTGGATAAAATTTCTGGGAGTTTTGCCTTTGCATGATGTAGGAAAGCAAATTTCAGCGGATACGTACTATGCTACACCAGAACTTCTGAGCGCTTCAAAAACGGGATACCTAACACAAGAATATATCATCCAGGCCTTGACTTCCGAACTGCCAACTCGGAGACAGGCTATTGATGTGAAAAAATTGGCTATTAGAATACTGACCTTGCAGCATGTCTCCTTAGGATGATATATTTTGGTGAATTGTATCTTGGGTTCACAAGTCGACAAGAGCCAGTTCTAATAGTCGGCTCTTGTAAACGGCCTCCTAGTTCCTACTTGGGAAAGCAGTTGTCCCCGGAAAGCGATTGTCCCCTTACATATTTTGGCAGGCAACTCATTCAATTCCTAAGATAAAATAATAAATTTAATATTATTGAATTACTATTATCTCGCTGAACTCAAGAATATAATTAGTTTTCAAATAGTAGAATATTTTTTTCGAACGGGAACAACCGCTTTCCCCGACTAGAAACTAGGAGGCCGCTGATAAGAGCCGACTATTAGACCTTCGGTTGTCTATCGGTTCTTTCACTTTGATAGTCTCAGCTATCTTCCAAACAAGAAGCAGTGAAGTTGGAGAAGGTATTCGATACTCAAAACTTCGTGCTTATCGCTTAGATCAAGATATTATTGACTTCAAATTTTATTGACTTCAAATATGATTGGTCTTCAATCGATGCATGATGATAAAGGACTTTCAATATTCCATCATGCAGCTTTTCTGGAATGACAATTCAGTAGGTCTTTGAAAAGCCTGTTCCTTTCTGACCATATTTAGGCGATAGCTAACTTCAGAAGTACTGCATTCTTAGTGAAATTTATACAGGAAACTGTTCGCGATCTAGCGCTTCTATTTCACAAACTTGTGAGGACTGGTTCAAGAAAGTAAAGTATTTCGCTCGGGCTGGATAGAAAAAAAGTTAATCCGGTTGTATTCGAGCGGATGAAATATATGTAGACTTGAATTATCAGGTGCCAAAGGCTATCTACTCTGAAAAGAGTTTCGATGAGGCAGAGCCAGGTATCATGGAACAACGGTGGTTTGATAAGTGGAAGGGGGTGCAATTATTTATATTCTAGGAAGCTACCTGGATTCTTTCTGTCATCTATTGATAATTAGGATAATAAACTCGTTGGAATGCGATATACAGGTTTATAGCGCATTCCAATCATAGCTGTGAAGCTGATTACGCTCTCATGGTGATGCTAGCTCAACCATTTCTTTTACGGCCGCGAGTCTGTATGGCATGGGATTGCTGACCTTCGACGGCTGATATTGGGATGATCTTGAGAGTAAAGCAAATCGAGGATCAAAACTTGAATGTTCCCGCTTTAAATTAATTTGATATCAATTGGCTGTTGTATTGATGAATCTCTCACACATCAAGCGATCTCGGCGATCTACCAAATTCATGACGTTGCTTACATAATCCCCCACCTCTCCGACGCCCTCTTCTTGACGACTTCAGTTGTCGTTCTCAGAACAACAGTTGCACATCTCGTCACTCTCAATATACGAATATATCAATATAAAATCCTTAGATTTCATATCTTTTGAACACTTTTTGATTTTGCTCTTTGAATAATTCTGAGAATTGCACAGTGGTGATCGTAAGGTGTAGTATTGTTATTTTTGGGTTCGTCGTCTTGAGATGGACGAATTTAGAAGCTGTAGTTGTTCTAACGATGTCACCAGTGTTTACCCCTGAACCCCTTTAATCCTCGCATCATCGACCAGCTGTCAAAATGCCTGCCATGCTTGATGACCCCAGCGCTCCCACAATCTACCGAGCTTCAGGGTCCGCACCTTTTCCAGATCCCCACGACACAAACCCCGCACTACCCGTCGATGTTTTTCCTCGACAGGTCACTTTACGTGACCGAGTGACAGTCGCTACAATAGTGCCTTTCGCGTCACAAAACCGAGTTCCTCCCTCGCTTCTTGCATATCTCAGCGACCAATTCAAAAAGGAAGTCGAATTGGGTGATACATATCCTATGCTTGATACTATGCCACCAGAGAAGTTTGCATCTTATTGGTTTCAAAACTTCGGTGCAGTAATGCTTCTTGGTAATATCGAGTCCGCAGACGAAGTAGTCGAAGGCAAGAATTGGGCAACAGAATGTCTAGGTAGTTATTATATCAAGCCCAACTATCCAGGACGTAGCTCCCACATCTGCAACGCCGGATTTCTCGTTACGGACGCTGCACGAGGCAGAGGTGTCGGGCGTCTACTAGGGGAAAGCTACCTCCACTGGGCTCCACTTCTCGGCTACACATACTCGGTTTTCAATCTCGTTTATGAGACAAACGTAGCTTCTTGTCGCATTTGGGATGCATTAGGGTTCAAGCGTATTGGGCGTGTCAAGGGTGCAGGAAATCTCAAGAGCTATCCAGGGCAATTCATCGATGCTATTATATATGGGAGGGATTTAGGGCCTGATGGCTCCGACTTCGTGAGTGAAGAACGCTTCGATAAAATCAAATTCTATTTGAAACATAAAGAATATCCATTGGGTGCTGATCGCGCGGAAAAAAGCAGACTTCGTAGCGCGGCCACCCATTACAAACTACTACCGGACGAGGATAAGCTCATGTTGAAAGGGAAGGAAGTCATCAGTGACCCGCAAAAACAATACGAGATTGCGAGGAGTATACATGTACTACAACATGGCGGAATCAACAAAACCACAGCTATCATCGCCGAGAAATATCACTGGATTAGAATCAAGGAGACGGTTAGTCTAGTAATTAAGAACTGTGGAGAATGTAAAGAATTGGGCAAGGCACCAGTTGTCAAACCAGATTACCAAGCTCAGATAGCCCGCCAAGCTACTCCTAAGAGTCAAGATGTAACAGATGCAAACATACTATCTTTAC